AAAATTGAAAATTAAAAATTGAAATACAATAGTTTGTCTGTGAGTGTGTGTAATTAAAAAAACTCCCACCCACCTCTGATTAATTCTAACTTCATCCCTGATAACCTGAAAATATAGTTATCTTTTAAAAATATTTTTTTCATGACATTCATAAAATTCTTGCGGCTGAAAAGTTGTTGGTTGGATAGATTGATTACATTGTAGGGTAATACAAATCCTAAAATTATGCAGAATTATAACGACTATAGAGAGATGGATAGTAAATAATTTAACTCATGGCACACAAAAAAAAGCCTTAAAAACCCATGACAAATGTTTCATTAATTTATATACGTCATATGTTTTGTTCAGATAAAGCCCGATATATACCACATGGCCGCACTAATCAATCTATACAGCATCACTACAATAGAAAATAACTAAAGACTTATTTTTATGCATATAAATAATTATTGAAACAAGAAATTTCACGAATACATAAACTTATAACCAAAAAATGTGAAAAATGAACAATTAAGTACATATTGTTCATAAACTTACATTTAATGTCGTATTAAAAGTTAAATTTTGTTAAACTATAGGGATTGAAGTTCTATATTTTTTATTTTTTTGATTCTTGTTTACAATTTAAATGGAACAAGTGAGATGGAGACTTCAAATTTTAATATTGATATTCATATTATCACTCAAAAAGTACATTTCAACTCTAATATAATAAACTGTATTTTGACCAGAAAAGCATTGTTATTCATGAGATTAGAGAACAAATTTTGGCGGCATATCTTTTTTTTCCTCACTCCAACTGGAGTTTTCTTTGTTCCAAACTAACCAAATGCTGATCCACATGACATCCTAACTAGTATCCCTAAAATTAAAAATAACTAAATGCTTATTTTTATGCATAAAGTATTGTAGAAGAAGAAAATTTCACACATACACAAATTTATAAACAAAAGAAAAAATAGGAAGAGAAGATGCTTATTTTTCATAGTAATAATGATAAAAAAACTAAGAAAAGAAAATATAAAAGCTAGCATATCATATATTGGAAAAAAAAAATATCTTGTAAATTATTATGATCAAGATGTAAATTTTGAAGTATTGCCTACTTTCCAATGCCTTCTAGTATATGGCCTGAAAGAAAAATTAACAATAAAATTTTATCAAAAAAGAAAAAAGAAAAATTAACATCCTGGAATAGACAAAATGGCTAGCCCCCTGTCAGGATGAGAGCGTATCAGAGAGCTAAGGAAGAGGAACACGGCAACCCGCCGCTATTCTGTTCTGATTAATCCATCTCCCACGCAAGCCTCAGAAAGCAACTTTGCGCTTTACTTTGCTGATTAGATGGGAAATTTTGCAAGAAGAGGAAATATCAAAGATACGTGCTGAAGAAACAGAGAAGGTGCTGACCGAGCAAGTCTTCAATCTTGACTCGTTACAAGTTAATTTGTTCCTATTTTTTATCAAACTCCTCTTGATTTTTTGGTGGTTAAAATTGATTTCTTCTACTTTTGGTGTGAAAAATTCATATGTTATCGTTACTTCATATGTTGAGAATTACATGTTTATATGCCTTATTGCTCTTTGTGCATTTTGTTTACCAAACCATCGAGTGTCATATATATAATGTTGAACAATTTGGGTTATTGTGATTGCTATCTTGGTGTTCGTCTTTGCTGCAACTTGGGGTCTGTAATGTACAGAAAGGGAATCTAAATTCATGGTACTAGCTTGTTTCATAAATGATAACTTTTGTTCTGGTAAGATCTTGTTTGGCAGACAACTTTGAGGATTTTTTTATATCTTATTTGCCTAGTTAAGTATTCTGACTTTTAAGAGCTGGTTGTGAAGCATTCTGTCTTCCTAACAGCTCACTTTGTTGATTTTTTTTTCTATTTGTACTTAGGGGATCCTGAGTTGAATTTTTGTATCTATATTACTCTCCATGTTGGTTTGATGTCTAAAATTTTCATGATTTTTGGAGCCCATTTGCATGGTCAAATATGCTGGTTTTTGGGACTGGTCTTGGAAAGCTTTCCTTCCTGATTTGTATATTTTTATGTGCTGATGCAGAGGTGACTTTAAGCTATTAAGTACGCAAACAAAAAAATGTGGTCGCAAAGATAACTGCATGCCTCCATATATGTGGTCTATATTAGTTAAGAAATTAAAGGCTGGGAATCATCTAAGATTGCCAACGTTCTATGAAGTATCAGTTATATTGACCAATAACAATAATTAAAAAAAAAAAAGAACAAGGAACTCAAAACTGCACACATAAAGGAACACATATTACATTTGTGTAGTGGCGGCAAGAAGTGGTTACATAATCTAATTAGAAATTTGCATTTGCAATTATATTGCTTGTGTAGATATTAGCATCAGAGAATTTAACTTTTAGACATATAATACTTGAGCATGACAACACTTAAAAAAACAATATTACAAGATGACGTTTTAAAAGAAATCACTTTAGTAGAAAAATGGGTATAAATTTACTCAAAACAAAAAGTTGAGTTTCACAAAATGTTTGTGAAACAAATGCTTTATGCTGAATCAATAACTTCTCTAGTAGCACACAAATTGTAAAGAATTAGCTGTATTCTAACTGTAAGCTTTTGAGCTCTTTGCATTGTATGGCAGAGCTCTAGATAATTAATTATTCTTTTGAAGATATAGAATTTGAAAATTTAGAAGTCTATGACACATTCTTCTTTTTTTTTTTTGTGAAATTACATTCAATTTTAGATGAAAGGAATTTCAATATTATTCAATGAACAAACTGAAAATATTATACTATATTTTGATAAAGGTGTACCTTGTAAATTATTTACACTGAATTCTACCTCTTGGAGCATATTCAGATTTATTGGCAGTATTCGTGAGCTTACTGTCTAAGAGCTCATAATTTTGAAATCTCAATTAAGACTAATTTCTTTAAGATTATTTATTAACATTATGGTCCAAAAATCCTAAATGAATGAAACAAGATATAAGAAAAGCATTGCAGTTGTTTCTAATTATGCAACGAAAACCATTTAAAAAATATGACAGTAACGTATAATGAGTTGTTGAAAGCAACTCATTATTGTTTTCAGAAAATTATTATGTGCGTTGATGTGTGAAAGCATTACATCTGAATCCTCTGTTAGTTTTGTGATACATATAGGTGTGCCCTTTTTATTTGTAGTTGAGGTGATGCTAGCAGAAAGCTAAAAAAAAAAAAGAAGAAGAAGTAAAGTATTCAAAATTTCGGTGTTGTTTCTTTTTTCTGTTTTAAGGAATACACAAAACTCTTTATGTAATTCATTCAAACAAAAATTATATTCTGGTATTTTTTTTAAGTTGTTGAATAGATCTGCAAATTTTTAACAGTAATTTTTTATTTAAATAAAAATTTATGATGAACATTTTTGAAGTATTTTAAAAAACAAATTCCCTGTTACTCAGAGCAATTGCACAAAAAAGCATATAAAAAGTAATGCGTGCATACGCAGAAGTTAGCACATCATAATTTATTGGCACTAATTAAGATATAAGTATTGAAGCATAGTCAAATTTCAATGCATCTTGGTATATGAAAGAAGATGCACACTTAAAGACATACACTTTTGAATATATAGTTCATTAAAATTAAGTTTTTAAGAAATTAAAGTATAGAAAATTTGAATATAAAAATTGCAGCATGTCTTGTCTTTAGTGTGTAGATCCACTATATATATAATTTTTTATTTAAAAAATCCTCTACTTCATATGAAATATTTCATGGAAAGTGCTGACAAAAATTATGATGTTATTATTCACCAAAAAAAAAAGTGAGAAGGAAAAATTAGTAATTATTATAATTTGTTGATTACGGTCTATTGTCAAAGCATAATGCACGACACGTGAAAGAGGATCCCCTACCGTGTCATTTGCACACAACTTTCCTTTCCAGCATTACACACTCTCTCTATTATTATTATTATTATTATTATTATTATTATTATTATTATTATTTTTGCTGAAAACATTCCACACTCTTAACATCACAAGTTATATGCAGCCAGAAAAAATAATATAACTAAATAGAATATATTTCTTTACATAACTTGAATAGTAAAATAAATTTTTAAAATGTTATACTTATTTTCTCAGCACGTAATAAGCTAACTAAGAGAAAACTATGGCATTTGGGTTATATATATAAATATATTCTTTAATCTTTTAAAATACATTTTATTGAGCTTCGCGTGGCTTCAAAAATATTTAAGAATGAACGTTGAAGGTCCACAAGAGTCCCTCACAATTATCATGTTTTCTTCAAAATAATGTTGGTTGGAAATTATGGAGATGGATAAAAATTTTATAAAAATAGAAGGAAAAAAAAAACATTTGTGCTTGTTTTGTATTGAACTTTACTAAAAGATACGAGAAAACATTACAGGATTAGAAAAAGTTTAGAAAGCTCGATAAAATATATATAGAAATATGAAAGAATAAACAATTGTATAAAGATGGAGCAATATCTTCTATATTTTTAGGTTATATGAAAACCCCAATAAAACATATAAAAATTTAAAACAAATATAAAAATTATAACAAAAACTCAAATATCTCACCTATTATAAGCAGGATTTAAATACTGAAAGTAGAATATTCTATAGATTTGTAATTTAGCATCTAGTCATATTATGTTTTTCAAACTGCTACTATGACATTTGTAAAGATTGTGTACAAAAAGACATTCATTGGTGTAGTGGCCAGAGAAGACTTAAAATAACTAAAGCATAGTCAGGTTTCTAAGCTTTTTGATATGAAGCCAAAACTCTTATTAAAAGGTAAACTTAAAATAAAATCTGCCTTGTGATATCACCACTTTGTTTAGGAATGCATTTGGCAATATAGCAACAAAACAAAAAGTACTAACTGTTATTGCAATCATTAAAGTGCAATTAAAATATATTGGCAAAGAAATTAAAGTTGGTGATTTAAAATAGTGGGCCGGTAGCAAATACCTGTAAAAGAGTTGTATTCTAATTGTAAGTCTTCGAGCTCTTTGCATTGTATCCAATTGGATGGGAGGGCTCCAGATAATGCATTTTCTTGAAGATATAGCCCTTGTAATTTTGGAAGTCCATGACATACACTTGAGGGAATACTTTCGGACAAATCATTCCAGCTTAAATCAATCACTTGTAACTCTGAAATATTGAAGATATTTGATGGTATTTGGCCAGAAAGCTTATTTCCATCCAAATATAGAAGCTTTAGATTTTGGAGATGGCCAATCTCTCTTGGAATATCTCCTGCAATATTATTTGATGAAGAAAAGAAAAATAAAACTAAATGAGGTAGAGAATTAAACATGGAGATGTATTGTAAATAAATACTCATTGCTGTATAAATACAAATATAAAATATAAATGCAAAGGCAGTTCCATTTTAATATATCGTGCAAGAGATTCTCAAGGAATGTATGATTAATATATTTATTTTAATTAAAAACATTTAATCATCACAAACATATCATAAATTCATAGTGTGATAATTAATTAGTAGAGTCATCAGAATTGTTTGTGATGATGCACAACGAACCCATGTGAAAAGAAGAAAAAAATTTGGTAGTAACTTCACTTGTGCTGAGCCTCTTTTATAAGTGTATATTGTATAGTTAAATAGGTGGATGTTGGCTTATATTTGACTAAATTTATTAATATTCCATACCTATTATAAGTAGGATTTAAAAACTCAAAGTACAATATTCTATAGATTTATAATTTAGTATCTTGGCAAATCACAATCAATATAATATATTTGCTAGACACAAAGTATTTAACTTTGATAAATTGATAGTCCTCAAGAATATATACTTGTTGCGTTATGGTTCAAAAATCCCAAATGACAGAAACAAATTCTAAGAAAAGCAATGTACTTGTTGTTTATGATATTGCAAAGAAAATAAATTGAAAAATATGACATGAATGCATTATGACTTGTTGGAAGTATTGTTAAGTTTCAAAATTATAATGATGCTTACAATAAAAAATATAGAAATAACTGAAAATTTTCATTGGATATCAACATATATCAGTTCTTTCAAAAAATTGTTTTCAAAAAATTAGCTTTCCAAATGAGAAGACATGTCCTAGCTAGCATTGATAAAATTAAAATAACTAAAGACTTACTTTTATGCATAAAGAATTATTGAAACAAGAAATTTTATGAATTCACAAAGTAATAATAGAACAAAAGATGAAAATAAAAAAATAAAATGCAATGTTGTTCTTAATTAGTAATGCTAAGAAAATCATCTAAAAGAAGAAGTAACTACTTAGAATATCATAATCTGAAAAAAAAAAATGAATTTAGATACTCCGGAAGAGAGGATGCCTTAACTAGCACCATTAAAATCAACAACAACTCAAGTCCTTTTTGAACCAACCAGAACTAAAGATTTTTATTTGTTTGAGTTTGTGCATCGTCCCTTAAATGATTACCATTTTATTTAAAATAAAATTCAAGGAATCATCCTTCAAACATGGCTTCTAAGTGATGTTGTCAAATGTAATTCCATATATACATTCATCACACACAAACACACATTAATATATGTGTGTGGAACTTTAGTTTTGTTCTAAAATATTTTGGAAATCACATAAAAAACAAGTGTGGGTAAAAATGATTGCAGAGATATCTCACGCATTTGCATGTATCATGATCCTCTAGCTACTAATAAAATGTCACAAAAAACTAATCCTCCAAGTTTTTGCAAGGGAACATATTTTTAGTACCTACACTATATATATAATGAAAGTGAACAAACTAATTAATCTCATACAAAATGATTTTACATAAACAAATTTTTATGCACAATGACAATATATAATGATAACATATAATGTTATAATAAAACTAAGGGTTAATATGAAATTTAAACTTTGAACTATAGGTCCAGGGGCAATTTGAATCATAAACTTTAAAAAGATGCATTTTAAACTCTAAAAAATTAAAGTGGGGGCAATTTTGCGGCTATCGTTAACTTTCAACAAACATTCAGCAAATTCATTTAGAGAAAATTGTACTTTAGGCCCCAAGTTAACATATGTTTGTTAAAAGTTAACACATACACAAATTTATTAAAATAAAAGATAAAGTAGGAAAAGAAAATGCATGGTTGTTCATAGTAATACAAAGAAAACAACTAAAGAGAGGAAAAAAACTATAGTAGCCAGAATATCATAATTGGATGAAAAAGTTACCTTGTAAACTATTATTTTCAAGACCTAGCACTTGAAGCAAGTCCAATTGTCCAATATCTTCTGGTATATCACCTACAAAAAAAAAAAATTAACGCTTAAAGATATTGAATTTGAATTGGTCACAGGTATATCTATTAATAATATTTCCCACGTATGTCATAGAGACACAAAAAAAGATAGCACATTAATCCTACGAGTGTCCATATATGATGAATCTTTTTAACAAGTCTAACAACACATGCAAATTATAATCAACATATTGTGCAGTAATTGTTTAAAAAATTTTACGTGGTTTTAACGTAACTACAAAAGAAATTCTATAAATCATCTGTAGTGACAAATTGTCTAGCTAGCTAAAAGAGGATGACAAAGAACATTGGATTATTTTATCTTAACCAATTTAAAAAATTATTATCAACAATATGTCATTGAAAAACAACAGTTACAGAATTATGAAACATTAATTTTCTCAAGGGAATTTTATTTGAACAAGGAAGCAAACGTTTGCAAAGCTGTTTTCATCAACACACAAAATGAGCTAACTTTAATAATTTGAATACCTGTAGAGGAGGGCAAGAAGTTGGAAAGGTAAATCTTTAAAAAAAATCAATAACAAGGAAAAAATGTGTTTTGGATATATGCAACATATTTTACCCATAAAAAGAGTAAATTATTTTTTATTTTATTTTTTAAATAGCTAAATAGATTTCATCACTGCCAAAAATTATATCATATAAAGTTTATAAATTTTTCACGGCTAAACAGAAATCATTAATGCCAAAAAAGTACCTAGAGATTTCAAAGGAATTATGCCATTGTGCCAGACCTGATTTTTTTTTTAATATTTTGATGGGATTTTATAGTCATTTTCCCAAGTTAATATGTTGTTAATATATTTATATATTTGTATTTCTAAGTTTTATATTTTCTTTTAGAAAGCTTAGGTGAGTTGGGTCTGGGGGCTCACCAAGACTAGGATAGGCCTCCTTCAAAAGTTACTTACAGATGTACTTACAAATCATCCAACAAGATATTGGTAAGTTTTATATTGTTATACACCCTCAATTATCTAATAACATTCCTCTCAAATTATAAAATTAGTAAATTACTTTTAGAAATATATATAATAAAATTTAAAAATGGAAATTCAAATATATACCATAATTTGTTTATATATCTATATATATTTTTAAAAAAAATCTCTTGTCTCTATCTTTGATTCTCATTTCAGCCCCAATTCAAAATGATGGAGATAGCTTAATAATTTGGTTATCTTTAGAAAATGTTTTTTTTTTCATGCCATCTAAAAAATTCTTGCGAGTGAAAAGCTATTAGCTGGATAAATTGATTACACATTTTAAGATCATTCGTAAGATGTTTGATTTATTTTAGTGGCGGGTCCATGTATGATATAGCTTGAACTTGTTCTTTTGGTATTTTATACCAACAATTAATTTTTGTTCAAATAAAGCCCAAGATATGCCATGCTACCACTCTAATCATTCTATAAATCCCAATCAGAATTTGATTTCTCACCCGCTTATTCCTCTTAATTAAAATTCTAATGATGTTTATAGCCAATAAGAGCAAAATTGACTGTCATTGATAAGTAACAAAATTGAATAAACCAACTTTGAATTAGACGTTGGATCCATCCAAATTTTACTTTCTGTTTACATATTAACATTATGCACTCTTTGTATTTTTTGGGTCCATTTGTTAAAGATTAAAAAATAAGTCATTATTAGATAATTTAGGGATTTGATAAAATAATTATTCTGTAAAAGTTTTATAAAAAGCAGACGTTATTTTATGTTTGGTTGCAATAATAAAGGATAATTATTATTTAGTTATTTTTAAATTCTTTATACTGTTTTATAAAAATAATTTATTATTTAATTATCTTAAAATCTTAGTATATCTTCTTGTATCCCACATTTTTAAAACATTCTCTCTCAAAGTAGTTACTTAAAATAATAAAAAAATTTTACTTTTCTATTATAATTGTTTTTAAAAATTTAAACAAAAATTGTTAAAATCACAAAATACTTTTTTCCAAAAAATTTATTTTTTTATAAAATAAGCTAAAACAAATAGGCCGTTTATCTCTTAAAATTGTTATAATTAAGTGTGGTAACCTAGAGCAGGCAATGAACCTAGGATACCCCAGGATATTGGATGGTCTAGTACCCAAAAAAAAAAAACCAAAAAGAGTAAATAGTTTGGATATGTAAAAATGTGTATACTTTAAAATATTTAATCTAAATATCTAACCTAAAATTTAATTATAAAATAAGATATAGTTTAAAATATTTAATCTTTATATATTATGTCATTGAGATTTACGGGGGTTATAGTAAGTAGAACCTTAAAAAAAAAAAAAAGGCTACAATTGTGACAATCGAATTATCAAAAAAATTTCAAAAGTTATAAACTAACTTTTTATATAATTATGTGTGTGTATCAATATAACAAAATAAAAAGTACAATACTACAACTGTTGATATATATGTTTAAAAGCTGCATCTATGAATGATAGATTTGATGATGGGCTTATGCTTCTATTACCTAAATTACAGTGTCATTTTTGTTTGTATTTGAAGAGATATTAGGGTGGGAAAGTTAAAAAGGAGACATGGGCTTTATTAAAATTGGATTTAGTAAATATGCTTGATTTTTAATTTCATTAAATTCCTTTGAAATTAAAAATCAAACATATTGTTGCCGGTTCTAATAGGATGGGTGTCTTCACCATCACTTCTTTTGTCAAATCTACTAGTTAAAATTATTTGGCTGATCTCTCTTATGTTGTTGCTGATTCTGTTTTTGCTCTGTTGCTGTTTGCGATTTCAGTTGTGCTGTACTAGTTTATTTGCCTTAGGAATATATCAGCAGTTGGAAAAAAAAAGTCCTTTGAAATTTAATGAAAGTTTTCTTACAAGGGACCTAACTGAAATTATCCCCTGTTATATTTAAAATCTTTGTAACAGGTTGAGTTCTCAATGACATTATAAAACATTAAAAATTATGTATAAAAATATAATCCAATTTTTGTTTTGTGAGAAAAAGAAAGTTTATTCTTGACTTATACATTTTGGGATATACAATTAATAGCATTTCGACGAAACCTATTAGCATCTAAGTTCATAATTTCAAGTTGCATGAGACAAGAAGTAAGAAAAAAGAAATAATCTATAGTGAATTATAATTTGCATAAAAATTATACCTTGTAAATTATTGGAACCAAGCGCTAATTCCTGAAGCGAAACCAAACTTCCAATGCTTCTAGGTATGTAGCCAATGAGTTGATTTCGACTCAAGTACATAATTTTAAGATTTGTAAGATTGCCAATCTCATTCGGAATATCTCCTGCATTATTGCAATAACAAATAAAAACAGTAATATGAGTGCCTGTATATATATTATAGAAAATCATAGAAATACAATATAACTTTATGGAGATGATCATGGACAACATATGTTGTATAAAAAATCATATAAATTTAAAAACCATTAAAAAAGTATCTCTTGCATTATGGCTCCAAGAACCCAAATGAAAATGACAAAAACTAACAAAAAGCATGCAAAATATTTGTTACTAGCAGTGTAGAGAATGCTAAATGATGATAATGCACTATGTTGTGTTGAAAGCATAATGACGGAGTTACCAATATCACAACAAATTAAAATTATATATAATTTGTAGATTCATTTATTGCACCCTACTCAACGTAATATATATATATATATATATCTCATTCCCCTCTCAAACAAAATCAACGTTGAATATCATATTGTAAATAGCTTATTCTAAGACATTCTAAACACGTATTAAAGTTTTTGAAATGATTTAGAGCAAATATATGAATTTATTTGATATTATTAAAGAAACACCTATTAAGGAGCTGTATGATATCAATTCAAGTGAGAATAAGCTAGAAATAGCTGGAAGTATTTTTCCTGAAATAGTTAATGTGACCAAGATCTAATTGTTTTTAATTAAGCAAAATCAAGTTTCCACTGCATCTTGTTATGTAATAAAAACAAATTAAATCCAATTATATGAGATGATTTTGCAATTTTAAAGTTTCAGACAATGTATTAAAATGATACAATATAACTTTATGAGATTAAGGAATACATAAAATCAAAATGGAACCTTTGTCTTTAATTTTAGACATATGCCTAATCAAATTTACAATAAATACATATAAATCCATCCCATAACGTGCACTGGGAAAAAAAAATTAAATATTAGACATCAAAACAACGAAACCACACTGTTCAATACCATTAAATATCTTAACAAATCATAACACGAATTACAAGACAAACACATTGCATAGACCTTTTACACAATATATAGTGTATATATATCTAGATAGATAAATGTTGAAGAAATAAAGAAAAAGATAAACTTTCATTTAAAATTTTCACTTACCCTTAATTTTTTAACTATATTCAATGTCCTTAATTAAACAATTGTTCAGTAAAATTATGACATCTAAAAGACTATAACTGTTAAAATATTTGAAGGATATTTTATTAATTTTTCTTTAAAAATAATATTGTGAAGTTGTACAATGGCAACCCCTCCTAGTGATATAAGACTTGTAGGTTATTATTATTGTTGTTGTATATATTTCATTATACCATGTTATAAGAGAGCAAAGTTTAAAAAACTAGACCAGTCATTAAATTGATTGAGGCAAATTCACAGTTTATTGATTGAATCATGGTTAGACTGGTTGCTATTAAAATGAAAAACTGTTAATTTATAAAAGAATAAAAATAAATAAATTAAGAAGAAAATAATGAGTAATAAGTTCCCCTCTATTTAGTTTAGTACATAATCTTATAATATACCACAGTTAGTACAAATATGTGTAATATTTATGAGTCCATACTTATTATATATATAAAAAATGACAATGCATGAAGTAGTTTTACAAATTATATAAAAACTAAACTTAAAAGATTAAACCCGAGGAAAAATATAAATAAACGCTCGATATTACCTTGACTTAATAGATATTATGAGTGTAGCCAAAAAATTAGTGAAGATCGAAGAGAAAAAAAAAAAAGAAGAAGTGAATCTCTGATGCCTCTGGACAGGGATAATAATAGAAAAAGTGATTGGTGAAAGTCCTACATTGATCGTCTGAATCGAGAAGCTGGGTTCACATGTGGGGTTGAGAAGGTTTTAAGAAAACCGCAGCTCATTGCCCCCAAGTTTCAAAAAATTTACAGTTGCGCCTCTTCTTGTTTTTTTTTTTTTTAAAAAAAAGAAGTTAACATGCATTTTTTATTTTTATCTGTTTCTTTATGGGAACTGGTCAGGTTTTTACTAATTTTACTGGTTGTTTACTGATTTACTAGTCTTTGACTACTTTTGGTGACTTTATTTGTGTCTGGGGTATGGAGTTTTATTGGTTTAATAAAAACTAAGAGCTAGTTTTCAATTTGACTGGTTGACTTTGGCCTAGACATCAAGAGGAGTGATGTAGTTTAATAAAAAATGTACAATAATATGCTATTTGAAAATATATATTGTATGTACACAAAATTAAACTGGCATCCCTTCATTAAAAAAAAAAAATCTAACATACCAAACAAAGGAAGCAAAGAGAGAGACAGAGAGAAGTTGTTGTTGACAAGTTTTTAGTGCTAATCAATGTGCTGTGTTTTCTGAAGAGTTAAAGTGCTAATTTGCCCTCAATTACTTTAGGTACTCATTGGACAGCCTCAAATCAAGGGGGCTCAACGTTGCCTCCATACTTTAAAAGTGAAGCAATGTCATCACCCCATTAAATATTTGTTAATTTAATCATTAATTGACTAAAAACATTATACAAAATGACCTAAAAATTATTAAAAAAAAGTCGTAGATAATTACAGAAAATGACCAAAATAATTATAGGAAACAAATAGGTTCCGGTGTCTAATTTGCCTTTCGTATTTTATCTTTGGCTAGCAATATTTATTAATTTACATTTTTTAATAGAATATCATTCTCATTTTGTTTTATCTAATGTGGCACTAATAATAAGACTGTCAACTAAGCAATGCAACACTGTTAACTACCTCTTCCTTCGGTGAGAGTAGGGGGATTTCCTTTAGCACAACAAATTGTTGGCCCAAGGAAAGAAAGAAGGGAGAAAAATCATCATTCGCACAGCACTCTTGCTATTGATCGGATTAAGTCTTTCGTACAAAGAATGCAAACCATAGGTGCCACATAGGATGAGTTACTGAGGACTTAGTTACTTTTTGAAAACAAGGGATGAATGGAGAAGACAAAAGAAAGTATAAGAACTGAGTCAAGACGATTTAAATTGTAAAAAAATAAGTCACAAACTGGATGGAACTATATGGATCAGCTAATTAATTTTTTCATTAAAATTGCTTTGAGGTCTTTGTAAAAACAATTAAGTTTTGAGAAAAAGGTAAATAATAAAAAAATTAACTAATAACAACTTTTATAATTCCTAAAAAAAATAAGAAGCTTTCAAAATGAAATAAATTTTCTTACTTTATATAAAAATAAAAACTCTCTCTCTCTCTCTCTCTCTCACACACACACATGCATATTTAGAATAAGCTTTTTAATGTCATGATGTGAAATATTTATCATTTATATAGCAGCTCGTGACATAATAAGGTATAACAAAGCTCAAAGAAATACAACACAGAAATAAATTTAATTAATCTATCTATCGTAAATAAATAGATTTAATTATCCTAATTATATCATACAATCAAATAATAAAGTTTAGTGTTATCAACAAAATTAATAATTAGTCATTGCCTTGAAGTTCGAACCCTTGAGGCATAATCAAATTTTCAATCGCTTTTGGTGTGCAATTGCAAAGCTGATTATCACTTAATATTATGTTCAGATTTTCCAAATTACTAATTATATTGAGAATATCTACTAGGATGTGGTCATTGGAAAAATTGTAAGATATGCTATTAGACCGTAAAGTATGAGCATAGAGAGACCAACTTTGAAAAGTCAAAAAATAGTTGATCTTAAATGGTAGTAAACATTTTTTGATAGAACTATGATACTTTTATTAGTTTCAAATTTGACTATTGTCTTTTGCAACCTGCAATGTCTGCTAAAATAGACTGATTTTTTTTTTTGTTAGAGTCCATGTATAGTAAAAATATCATAATAAAATAAAAATAAGCAATAAAGAAGACAAAGCTCTTGAACCCAATAGGAAAAAAAAGGAAATAGGAAATTGATGTATCTTGGTTTGTATCCATTAGTTTGAACTGTGTTTAGTGTGACCAATCGAATCCTCATATGCGAAGAGTTTTGTCCCAAGTCTTTGCAATATGATAGGGCCAAATATATTAAGAAAGGAAGATATTTTTCATCATATATACTATGATTAAATGAGGCTATAGTAGATTAATTATTGAGACGAATAAAATTAGTCAAAACACTTTCAGCACCGAAATTGAGAGAAATAGTGAGACAATATTAGTTCATTATTTGAACTTGTGTCCTGCACATACATCATTAGTTTATGCATGTCTTCAAAGTTACTTTCTTGTATGATAAACTATACTATAGAGCATTGTTGTTGTTACATACTATGCATTTGAAATTAATAACGTTCATGTGTTATTATTATTTTTTTTTCACTAAGTGCAGTATTTAGTTGGATTGCATTTATTTGCAACCGATTGAATAAATGATAAATGAGAATGGGATAATCATAATTAATTTTGTATAAGGTATGAAACAAAAAATAACCATAATCTATTTCAATATTCTCAAATATCTCTTGGAAAACAACATTAGTTGTTCCTGAAGATGCCTTATTATTTTTGTTGTGGACCAGTATCTTTAGGCCTTTTGTGTTAATTTATTTGAATCTGACTAAACTAATTACATGTACAGAGGAACTTATAATAGTTAATGTCTTATTTTATTAGTAAAGTATCAAATGCGTGTTATTCAATGTCTAAACTATAATTATTTATTGAAATGTTAGAAGAGCATAAAAACAAATGAAAAGATTAATGTTATTTTATAATTTAATGTTATGAAAAAAATATAACTTCCTCCCCATACTAAAAAAAATCAAGCTTAGTAAATAAATAAATAAAAGAAAGAACAGTGCGCCTAAGGGACACACCCAACATAACTCAAACGGCACCTCCCGCATGACATAAAAATAAAATAAAAAATTAAAAAAAGCGCTTGGTCAGAAATTAGATAGAATTGAATAGTTAGTTATATGCATATATTTAAACAACTGGTACCCAATATAATAATTTTTAAGAGCATAGGAACCTTAAAATATATTATGGGTACATGCTGTACAGAAGAAATCAGACTATGGAAGCTCAAATTGGTTCTAAAAAAATAGACATTCTATTAATAAAAGAAAAGAGAAAATCAATGATTTTTATAACATTAAAAATAATGAGATATTGACGGTCGAATTGACAATTTGAGTTGTTTCAGATCTTTTTTTTGTTTTTTTTTACACGAATACACAAATTTATAATCGTACCTATTGAGTACACAATTATAAATACCGATGCAGCTTATAGCACAGGGAAAAAGTCACAGAAATCATTTGAAGATTTTTCCTCCATCATGATGATCTAAAATTTTTAATAACTTGTTCACAATCAGATTCATCATTCTCGATAGTAATTTCTCATGATTTTCTTCATAAAATCGGATTTGGAAACAAACAAAAGAATGCTTAAGACATGCCCTACAACAAGCACATGCAAATTTCTGACACAAATTTGTAATGTTATAAAAACTAGGTTGTATTATATAAGTAATAATTTATAACGTAACTGAAAAAAGAATTCTGAAAAATATATAACTTAAAAATATAAAATTGTCTATCTAACTAAAAGAGGATTTCAAAGAACATTTGATCAATTTATCTTTCTGAAATAAGAATATTTTATTATCACCAATATATCATAAAAAGTTAATGGTAAAATAATTATCAAACGTATTATTTTGCTTAGGTGAAGTTAATTTTAATATGTAGGAAGTATATACTGATCCAAAGCTGATTCCATGAAATGCAAAAAATGTGCTAACTTTGATAATTTGAATACTCGTGAAGCTAGGAGGGTTATGTAAAATGATAATTACAAAAATCTGTTGATGAATTTAATCTAACAAATATAAGTGAATATTTTACAACAAATTAAAGAAGATCAACTGAGCTTGATAATAAGGCTCACATAAATCCACATTAAAATTAAGCAAAAGGATTTCCAAAAACAAAAATAAATTTATATCATTGTAAAATAGAAGAAATGCTAATAACACATTACGCAAGACATACCTGTTAAGAAGTTGCGAGACAAAGACAACAACTCAAGTGAGGATAAGTTGGAAATAGTTGGAGGTATTTTTCCTGAAAGCTTGTTTACCGCAATCCGTAAAATCTTCAAACATTGAAGTTTTCCAATCTCAAATGGAATGAATCTTTCAATAAAGTTATCATTCCAGTTCAAAGTCTCTAACTTTGACAAATTGGATATGCTTTTAGGAATAACACCTCCAAAAATGTTGTTACAGAGATGGAAGTGTTGAAGCATGAATAAGCTTCCAATCCAAGTTGGAATTTCTCCCTTGAATTCATTGTAGCTCAAGTTGAGAATTTGTAGCTTGTGTAATTGGATCAACTCTTTTGGCAACTCACCATAAAGGTTGTTACTATGAAGGTCAAGTTCAACCAAGAAAGACAAATTCCCAATTTTTGAGGGCAAAGTTCCCTTGAGACCCATCTCACCAAGATTCAAGGCTATTACTCTCTCATGGTGAGCATCACACATAACCCCAACCCAATTGCAAATGGAAGAAGAGTTGGACCAATTGGCCAAGTAATTGTAAGGGTCCTTAACAGAAAACTTGAAAGCAAGTAGTGCCAATTCATCATACGTAGTGAAATTGGTGAAGCATAAAGTGAAATGAAAACAAAGTAGGGAAAACAAGAGAAAGGCGAAATGAAAACAAAGATTTGCCATGTTGGATAGGTTCAGGGCTTCCTAGATTGATGAAGTGGTTGGAGGAGAAGGTTGTACTATATATATACACGCTTAGGAATTCATAAGCACAACTTTTAAATAGGACGGATGATTAATTATATGCATTTAAACTAAAACTGTTTATTATGATGTTAATGGTAGAAATTTCTCGGCTCAAGTAATATCCCTCGTCTACTTTTGTATCAATCAGTGGCCACTAGTTATAATTAATCTAAGGTGGTGGGGCCTGCAAAGAAGTTAGAAAATGAAGAGACATTATTGGCATATTCTTCAATTTGTTGGAGATTATGTCCATTTGATATTGGAAATAAAAAATGAATTTGATAGGGAGATATTAATCGAAGGAAAATGTTATTTTAATATCTTATATAATATATATAGATATATAAGAAGAAGAAATTGTTAAAATAATTGGAAAATTTAAGAAGAAAAAAATATGTGAACCATTTGGATTGCGTCAACTACTTTTTCCTTTGGACTTGACTCTTGAGCACTTCGATTTGTTCTCTCCCTACTTCAAATAAATTTAAAAACAAAATAATGGCTTGTTTGATTTCTATCTTTAAAAACTGCTTTTAAAATAAAAATATAAAAACAATTGGTTTGGATAAGTGTTTTAGATTTAAATGTTTGCAAAACTGTTCTCATCTTTTGTTTTTTTTATTTAATAAAAGATCATAGAATTGTTTTTGTTTTCTTTTTTATGTTTACAGCACATCATAATTGATTACTGAATGCTACTATCAGTTATAGTTAACTACTATCATTATCCATTGGTGACCACCATTATCTTCCGATTTTTTAACTCAAATTATTTTCTAATTTACATAATTTTTGGTTTCAAAAATAATTTTTAAAATTTAATTTACAAGATAGTTTTTAAAAACAAAAAAGGGAACAAAATCAAATAAGATCTAAATTTTGGGTCTCAATTTTTTATTTGTCAAAGAAAAATAAATTATTAATGTCAAAAACTATATGTTAATCTGCATATCACAAACGAAAACAAACTAATTTAGTTATTTTCAAAGTTTTTTATGTAGTGATTGGGTAGGGATTAATGATATGACAGTAAAAACTTTAGGTTGTCATTCTAATAGTTTGAACTATAAACAAGGATCTCATTTAAATCTCGCTAAAAGGATAGAGATTATTAAAGATTTAATTTTTTTTCCATACAATACGCACAAATACAAACATACGCGTAAAGTATATTATTGTGTCATTTTTTTCCAAGATATGGTACTAGAGTAGGCTTGACCAAAGAAAAATGTGGATACCGACTAAAAAGATAGTTTGTCACCATTAATGACTTCTTTTCCATGTTGGCTTCAATAATGGGTTGAGAATAGAAAGATTTCTATTATCATATGTCGTTTTCTTTACGCAAACTTAATGTTTAAATTTCAAAGTGAAATGACTTATATATATATATATATATATCATTTTTATTCATCTGATTCTATTATTATGCCATTTTCTCTACACACGCATAGATAAGAAAATATATATTTTATCTCAGGATAGCTGAGACGATAAGAATAGAACCAGAGTGTTTGCACTCTTAAATACATTCACATATGCATGGGAATTGGAAAATTTATTATTATTATTATTATTATTATTTTAATGATGGTTATTTTTTACATAACTTACTATACTCCATTTATAAAATCATATTTTAAATATTTTTACTCAACAAAATTCATATACACAGACTATTCAATTTCCAACATAGGATCTACTGTAGGACCAAAAACAAAACCTCATTATTGTGTCATTTTCTCCAAGATATGAGTACTTAAGTAGGTTTGACTCAAGAAAAAATGCGGACACCGACTAAAAAAGCCTAGACTTCTATGATTTTGCCGTTTTGTTTGCGCAACCTTAATTTTCAAAACAAAAAGACGTAAATATATAAAAATTATTTTCATTCCACTACTTTTATTAATGTATCATTTTCTCGATGCATATGGATTGACTTAGACCTTGACATTATGTGTCCGCATAGAAAAAAAAAAAAAGATGACCATTATGACATTATCTAAACTTTTGTTTATTCAAAACTAATTCAGAATTGGGTTGCAGGGGTTTATCTAAGAGCGCTTACATTAGATCACTCACTAACAAAATTCTCATGTAAGTACTTTGAAAATAAAGTATTGTTGCCCCTACTAACAACAAAAGTTAACTTTAGTCATTAGATGAATAAAAAAGTCATTAGAAATAGTTTAAAGCACACAGATGTCCTTTAACCCATAGAATTTTCAAACATATGATCTAGCCAATTAATTTTTAATATTGCTTTTTAAAAAGTAGAGAAGGCGGGATACAAATTAATGTCCTTCTGAATGTTGTTACTTAGCCAGCATTATTGGAGCACTTAAGAATTTGTTAAAGGGATTGTGCCTGTTTGGATTTCGTTTTCAAAATCCTAATCCCTAAACTTGCTTTTTTTTTGGTTCATTGTTCATATACTGTAACTTAATTTGGTGGGTTGATGAATTTTTCTTTTCTTTGGGAGGGGGGGGGGAACGTGAACAATAATTGAATTGCATCATGAGCCTTCCGCAAAGCATCCTAACTCCTATGCATTATTAGTTGCTTCTTGATTTAACATCTTTAATTAATTAATTGGGGATCAAAACTTTCTTAATCTGTGGGGGCACGTTGTTGCTTTTCCTGGGTCTCTTTTCAACTTTTTGTTTTTTTGCATTTTTTTAATTTCAAAACTTTATTCTCACCCTGTATTATTTTTTTATGAATGAAAGTTTAGATGAGTTGAGACACGGGGCTAACTAAGGTCAGGTATACCTTTAGGCTCAAAAGGCACTTACAGAGGTGCATGCAAATTACTTAGCAACAAGATCATCACTTCAGCAGTGGAATTTGATCCCTTAAATTTATAAGCCAAATCCTTGTCAAATGGACCAATCTTTGTTGGCATTACTGCCTTTTATAATAGTAATACGCGTCATATGCAAACTAAATTGTTAGGAACCTTCAAGGAATTAAGTTGAGACTTTAAACAAGTGCGATTAGTAGGATCCATGGATCAAACATTATCATATCATTTTTTAATCATACAAGAAAATGCTGTCAAATTCTCCCCCTCCCCCTTCTTGGAAGAATTGAAGAATGACCAAGGTAGATGATGGGGAAAGGGGCTTGATGGTTTGTGGGTATAAGATAAAATTTTGGGGAAAAAACGTGTTGGCTTTCAATTATATCTTGATCAAATTACTTTTATATATAAATTATTTAACATCTAAAGAAATCAAAGACAATTTTAATTTCCATTATTGTTTGGTAATTGATTAAACATTATATATAACCTAAGAAAATTTTTTATTTATTATTTTATTGGTCATTACTCTGCTCAACTAATTGTTAATTATTATCTCAGAATATTAATAACAATATAAAAAATAAAGCACATAATAAGATCCTTATCTTTGCTCTCCTTCTTTGCTCGAATGCTTTTACCTCTTTTCTTTGAAATTCAAATACATTCATTGTGATCATTTCTCATATAAAAGGCTTCATCCTCAATGAAGTAACTTTCAAATGATATCCCCATAAAGGGATAATCTTCAACAGTAGAATCATTCATATCTTCATTTATTTTACTGTTCAATAAAACAATAGACCAATTTACTTTAGTCGGATCAAGAACAAAGAACACTTGGTGAGCTTGTGAAGCTAAAATAAAAGGCTTATCTTTATACCTTCTCTATTAAGATCCACCATTAAGAACCCCAAGTCATCAACTTTAAGACCATTTTTTCGATCAACCCACTTACAACCAAAAATTGAAACTTGAAATTTGATGTAATCTAACTCTCAAATGTGCTTAATTATCCCAAAGTAAGACATTTTTTGCGTACAAGAGATTTTTGTCTTTAGTACTAGATATATGCATTGCTTGGGCTATAAGAGTTACATCACTATTTTTCATTGTGCTCCAATCATCTTGCTCTTTGGTATAAAATGTGTACCCATTAATGAGATAGCCAGTGAAAGAAAGAACTTGTTTATCTGGACCTCTTGCTAACCATTTTAATTTTTTAGAAACTGAATCAGAATCGGCAGTCAACTTCTCAAGAATGTGCTATTCCATCCAAACTATAAAACTCTTATTATGCTTGTTTCCATACTAAATCTCCAATCTATTCGGGTTATCCCGCTTAAGCTCGACTATGTGCATCTCTACATATTCCTCAACCTCTACAGAGTTGTGTAGTACATATAAATGTGCTCGTTCCCATTGTAAGTTAGAGATTGTAACTACTTTATTGCCTATAATTCCATCTCCATCAGTTCTACCATCATGCCGAGAAGTCAGAAGACTAGTATGGTTAACATTTGATAAGTACTCAGTACAAAATTCAATTGCCTCCTCACAAATGTATCGTTCAACTATACAACCTTCGGGTCAACTCCAATTTTTCACATGTCCTTTAGTATCTTCATGTAACGCTCAAATGGATACATCCATCTCAAGAAAACTGGGCCACACATTTGTATCTTTCTAACTAGATAAAAGTGAGGTGCACCATTATATCAAAGAATGCAAGTGAAAAATACATTTCAAGTTCACATAAGATTAACACAATTTGGCTCTGCAATCTTGGAATTTTTTTGGGTCAATCACTTTACTATATATAAACTTAAAGAAGAAATACAATTTTGTAATCATGGCTCGAATTGTATCAAGTAAAATAGAACGTATAGCTACTGAAATAAAATTTTCCATTAACACATGGCAATCATGTGATTTTAAACCCTTCAACTTCAAATCCTTCAATGACACAAGGCCCTTAATATTTGAAGAGTATCCCTCTGGAACTTTAACAGTAGCAAACGACTCACAAAAAGTCTTCTTTTTTTTCTAGACAATGTATGAGCCACTGCATGAAGAAATAGGCAACTTCCCTTCTCTTGCGGAGCCAACTCTTCCCTTATCCCTATAGAAATCATATCAAGTCTTGCCTTGATGCCATCTTTGGACTTTCCCAGAATATGAAGTAATGTACTAATTAAACTGTCACACACATTTTTCTCAATGTGCATAACATCAAGAAAATGTCTCACATATAAAGATTGCTAATATGGTAGGTAAAAAAAATAGACTTTTTCTTCCACCCCCATGTCCCAAGATGCTTTGTAAGAGGTTTGCCAAACTTGATATTCAAATTCTTCACCTTGTCAAAATGTTGCTCACCTATCAGTGGCAAAGGTGCCTTACTTTCTTCTGAATTCCATTGAAAGCTTTTTTAGGCGTCGATAATAATGATCAGGATGCAACCATCTATAATGTCCGAGATAGAAATTCTTCATCCCATGTTCTAATCTCACCGAATGTGTGCCCTCTTCACAAATAGGACATTCAAGTTTTGCTTTGATACTATACCCTTATAAATTACCATATGTTGGAAAATCATTGATTGTACCAAACAACAATGCTCTTAAATTGAACCTTTCCTCTCTATCTTCATCATATACCTCAACACCGTGCTCCCACAATAATTTTAAATCTTCAATTAAAGGAGCCAAATATATGTCTATGTCATTTCTCGGCTGTTTTGGCCCCAAAATTAAAATGGATAGCATCATATATTTTCGCTTTATACATAAGCATGGAGATAAGTTGTAAATTACCAAAATAACTGGCCATGTACTATGACTGCTACTTTAAAGCTCGTGTGCATTCATTCTATCAGTAGATAATACAAGGTGAAGGTTTCTATCTTCTGCTCCAAAGTTAGGGTAATCGAGATTAATTTTTTTCTATTGAGAAGAGTCAGCTGGATATCGAAGCTTCCTATCTTTGATCCGTTCATCCGTATGCCATGTCAAATTTTTTGCATCCTCTGCAGTATTGTACATCCGTCTAAATCTAGGTATAATGGGAAAGTACCATAACGCCTTCTTTGGACTTTTCCCATTTTCTTTGTAGCGCAAGGCATTACATTTTGGACACTCCATTAATGATGCATATTCATTTCTAAATAATATGCAATCATTAGGACATACGTGTATTTTCTCATAACTCATGCCAATTGAGCATAGCATTTGTTTTACCTCACACATAGTCCTTCGAAGCTTATTGTTCGCAGGTAGAAGTTGTTTTATAAGTGTAAGATTTTTTGTAAAGCTCTTATCACTCCATCCATTGTTCACTTTCAAGTTGTACAATTTCAACATTGCTGACAACTTTGTGAATTCAGTGTAACCAGCGTACAAGGGCTTCTCTGCATTACTTTTCAATATCTCTAACATTTCAGGACAATCCTCAAGTTCCCTTTCAATTGCATTAGCCATCTATTCAACACAGTCATCCTCATAAGTATCTGTGTCATGATCATTTGATTCAAAGCTTCCCTTATACTCACAATTACTAGTAGACTCATCCTCTCTAGTTTCTCCATACTTATGCCATCATTTGTAATTTTCATCAATTCCATAGCACACTAAATGGTCTTTCATCTTTGATGCACTAATTTGCTTCAAAAGACCATATCTTACACAAGGGAACACTATTCTTCTAGGGTCTTTTACATGCTTAAGAGCAAGCCTCATAAACTCTTTCACACCATTCAAATACTCTTTATTTAATTGATTGAAAGACATCCATTCTTTATCTATAACTTTTTAATATAAAAGACAATTTATTCAAGGAAATGTGATCAGTGACTCATGAATATGGAGAGGAAAGAATGATGGAAAGATTATCAATAAAGAAATTGACTACTCTACATATAATATAGAGTAATTAATGAATCATGAGTCACAATGCATGAGCATTCACATACTCCTTCAATCGCCGATAAAAATTCGACAGCATAACGGCATAAAGAAACTTTTTCTCAGGCTAAAATCCTCTTTTTAATTTTGGCATCTCACTCAACAAACTAATTCCAACCATATACAATCAAAAAGCTAACAAAATTCTCACAAAATAGTATTTTCAAATTAACTCTAAAATTATATATAAAATTTGTTCAAAAATCATAGAAAAAGGAAAAACACTATAAACTCATTTTGAATCAATGTTTTCTGTCTCATTGATCATTCTAAGGTTATACATATCCTATATTAGCAATCTCAAGCCAAGAACAAATCATTCTTTACAAAATGTAAAAATATCAATAAAATAGCAATGATTTTTAGAGAAACCGCACGTCAGTTTTTGTCAGTAAAATGAACTCTAATTGTAATGAAAATTGGTATACTAGTACATTTCAATATGTAGTTTTGAACAATAAAACTATTTTGATCAAACAATGCACGAAATTTAAATTAAAAATTATTGAAATAAATCAGTCAAAATTCATAGAAAAATACGATCATCATAAATATCCCATTTTGATCACTAATTTTCATCTTAATAATCATCTTAAGGCTAAGCATATCATCTACAATCATTCTCAAGTTAATAAAACATCAAACATTAGAAATTTTTGACACCCGATAATATTAAAATGGGCAACAAATGAGGAGAAATTTAAACAACAAAAATCAACTAATAAAACAATCCATAATATTAAATAAATCAATTTCATAATCTAGAAATCTAAGCATATTGGAAGAAAATGAAGAAAAACCATAGAAATCACAAACCCATATACCTTTAGAGAAGAGAGGATCAAACACAAAGAGGAAGCAAATAAGAGAGGCATGGGACGGCGTAGGAGGAGCACTTTCACGTTGGAGAGGGACTAAGGTGGTCGACGGCAACAATGGAGGTAGATTGAGAGATTTCTACCAATTTTGTGTAGAAGTGGAGAAGATAGAAAATATCGACGACGAACGGGCGGGAATGAAAAAGTGAGTCTGGAAACTGAATAAAAATGAGAATAAATGATGGGTATTCTAATACCCCTCACTTATTCATGAATATATGGTGGGTATTTTAAACACCCATCATATATCATTGAGGCTTTAAATGACGGTTGTTTGAAACAATCATCTTTTAAAGCTGAAATTTTTTTATTTTTTTAATTCAAAAAAATGAAATGTTGGCCCCCAATATATGACGAGTGTTTAAAAAACTCATCATATATTGTTCCAGACTTTAAATGACGGGTGTTTAAAACACCCATCATTTAAAGTTTTAAAATTTTTTATTTTTTTAATTTAAGAAACTGAAACGGTGGGCACTAATATATGATGGTTGTTTGTACAACCGTCATATATTGTTTAAACTTTATATGACAGGTATTTGAAATACTCGTTATTTAAAGTTCAAATTGATTTTTTATTTTTTTCCTTCCAGTAAATGAAACGTTGGGCTGAAATAAATGACGGGTTTTTTTAATACCCATCATTTAAAGTCTGACAATATATGACAGTTATTTGAACACCCATCATTTATTTTCTTACCGTCACTCATCTCTCATATATGACATGTTTTTGTTTGACCGTCATTTTTCATGGCGTCTTATATTTACGTTTTTGTAGTAGTGCAAAAATTAAGGCAATCATTCATAGAGTAATAAAAATTTTGTTTGGATATAATCATTAATAAAATTTAAAAAAATGAATTCAAATGCATCTAAGAAAAAGGAAAGAGTTACTTTTTTGCAGGACATCATTAATTTGTACCATATGCAAATATAAAGCAACTTAATTTCATCATGACTACATTTTCTATATAGTAAAACCAAAGCACAAAGAAAGGCCTACATTCTAACAAAAGAAAAAGGATAATTACGCCCAAATCTCATTACATCATACTTAGATAATACAAGGTTTATTAACAATTACTTAAAAATAACTTTAGCTATCATTTTGCTATGATCAATTGTCAATAGACCTTAAAGCATTTAATTGTATTGTGGGGACCAAATCTTTAATTTATTTTTTTAAAAAGACCTAACTAGAGAAAAATGTTAATAAAACTAAAGGGTTTATTCAATAATACAATAATAAATTTGTTATTATTTAGATAATTAGTAAATAAATAGTTTTTAGTGAATAAATGATTCCAATTAATTGGGTCAATAATCAAGATTTGAAGATTCAAATAGCTGAAAAGAATACTTTTGAGAATAAATTTGCCTATATATTTGTGCTATCTTAAAAATTTGTTTGTATTTGTCAACAAAATAAAAAAATAGTGTTTATCTGGATGTATGAGGAATGTGAATTTTAATTATTTATTTAAAAATTATGTTTGAAGAGTGAATGCAAGTACCAATCTATGAAATTTAGTTTATTAATTTGTTAGCAGTTGCTTATGCGATGATAATGGATTCAAACATTGTATCTCGCTGATGTTAGAAATAATGAAATTTACTTGCTTCATTCGATCTAAATTAGATAAAGAATATTCTGGGACAACCAAACTTTTAGTCCTACAAGTTTGATTCAGTTATCGATTTCACCTCCCAAGTTTAACTTTTATGAATTTGACCCGTTATATTTTCTTAAATTATCATATTAGTTTTTCAAAATTTAAAAAACAATTAAATAAGAACAAATTAATTTAATATGCAAAGCATGCTAATGACTTAACATGTACATGTAGTTAAATAAGAACAAATTAACCCTCAAATCAGTTTAATTTTTATCAAACTAGTCTCTCATACTATGTTTTTAATTTATTGTTTTTAAATTTTTTTATTCTATTATTTTTCCCTACCTAAGGTATAGTGTATGGGATTTTTTTTTTGGACAGAATGAAATGAAGAGGGATGGCTAGAATTTTTATACCATTATTTAGAAGAATTTTTTTAAAAGAGTGGTATCGCATATGATGACCTTTCAAGCCATCCCAAACCTAATTTTTTCAACCCCTATGTTGGGGAATTGAGACTGAAGTAACCTAATATAAATAATATTATTACTAAATTACTTTTATCCTTCTCACCTCCTTTTACTCTTTCACTTTCTCTCACCGTGAAATTGGAAAAACATAATTATAACTAATTCGAATCTATTGATTTTATAATAATTTTTAAATAATGATTAAATAAAATCATTTATCACTCCAATAAAATTCCCAAACAATGAAAATTCCATTCCATTCACTCTATCCTGATCCACCCTATTCCATTCCATTAATTTTTGATCCAGTTTCACCCTTTACATGAGAAAGCATTTGCACAAATAGTAATGTGACTTATTATCTTGTTTTAATTAATTAGAGCATAATTGAAATATTGAGATATTTTTTTAGCAAATATGGCAACATAATAAGAACTTCTCTTAAAACACGTGAATAATGTTTTGAATACCTTATAAATAGGATCAGAGTGAGTAAGTGAAATGTTTTAATTTTAATGAAGACTCTATTATTGACAATAGCTCCATTTTCTTTAGGTCATGGATTTCAAAGATGACTTGGCTTGGGAATAAATAAGCAAGAATAAAAATGATGAGATTCTTTTTCTGTTCGATCCCATTAATAATTAACAAGTTGTTAGAAAAAGAGACTAGTTAATTTTCTCTTTTCAGTATAAATATTTGAGTTTACACTTGATTAATGAAAAACATGAACTAGAGTAAAAAGATGACTTGTCCCCTTCCATAACTTATTTTCTTTCCTTGACTACAATAATGAGTGGAGAAAATACAAGAAACCATTGAGATGCATTCACTAAACACCATTTTTTTGAATAAAATGACATAGAAAATAGAATGATTAAAAATATTTTTTCTCCTCAACTCTAAAATTTGTGTAAAAAACATATGGCATTGTAATCTTCTTTTGCAGGGAAATATCCCACTTTAATATTTGAAAACATTGCAATATTGTATCTATCATTAAGAAATATTAACTTTTACCATTAATTAATTAAAAATTAACAAAAAATTTTAAAAATATATAAAAGGAATCAAAAAATTATAAATATATATCAATTTAAAATATTTTGTTGATTTTAAAAACAATGGATTACTACTTAATTTTTTTTATTTCATTAATTTGTTAGTCATCGCTTACATACAATGAGATTGGATTCAAACCTAATATTTAATTTCGTTGGAAAAATGACATGTAAAGACTTTTTAAGAATATTAATTATAGATAAAGATCTTAAACTTACGAAATTCAGAAAAAGATTAGTTCTTAGTTAGAATTAAAACTATTTTTTGATGGAATTAAAAGAAGCTTTAAATTTAAAAAAATTGACATCAATTTCTATGATTTAGGCACATCACAGAAAGATAAAACCATTTGGAATTGCTTCCCAAATGGACTAGAATAAAAACAAAGAAAAAGTAATTAAAGCTATAAAGCATTGAAAAGGTGAAAATCAATAATACCACCTTGCTATTCATACATCAACAACTGAGATCAATAATAGAGATCCCACTTC